AGAACCGTCCGATTCTAAAAGTTTAAACTCATTACCCGACCCAAAACTATTTAACTTATCCAGGCCCGTCCCAAATGGGTGGGTTCTGGGTCTAAGACCCAGTAAACCCTTACCCATTATTATCCCTAGGAGAGACGACGAATAGGGTCGCTGAAAGAAAGGGATAGGATGAGCGTGAATGAAAAGAAGCGAGTACGAACCGAAGGTGGTTGTCTCAATCGAACCAAGGCACCACTTGCCCAATGATGCTAAAATCAGACTTGGTTGTTCGTAAATAAAGTAATGGATGTAGACGATATTCTACGGCGTAGTTAAACAGTGAAATATGAATGAGAAACTATTTGAAATCTGTGATAATTCTTATAAAAGGAGAATGTGGCAAACCTCATAAGGTAAACAACCAATCACCTCTCTCTTTCTATCTCGCTCTTGAATACTTCTTTTGGAAGGAATTTGACTTGGCCGTCGGAAAACTAACTTTGGCTTAAGTTCGAACCTTTTTTCCTCATTTTGCAGGTATAGAGGTCTTACTTCATCGGAACAATCCCCACGCCTTTTGTGTTTATTGACTGGCGGCCTATTAAAAAACATACATCAATCATATTTCTCTTGAGAAATTTAAAACCATAAAAATAATAAAAATATATGATAAGAATAAAAACTATAATAATGAAAATAGAATCTGAAAATTACATAAAATTCATTCAACGACCGAAAAATAACAAACTACTTGAAGATTACCAGTCTTTCTTCCTAGTTTACATATACAAACCATATACTTCAAATAAAGAGTATTATATTCCAATTCCAACACGAATTCTCGAGAGGGACAAACCAACAGTTCAATAATTCTTGTTGATCATCAATCATCATTAACTAATATATATTTATAACTAAAATTTGTCGTCTTGTGTGCATACCGGTTTGGTACAATATCCAATTTATATATATATATATATACATATGTATATATCATTTTGTAGCTTATAAATTGTGTTGAAGGGTTGGGAAAAATAAAAATTTCATTGACACTCTTGACACCGAAAAAAGTAATATTAAAAGAACTTATATTAACTCATTAAAAAAAAAAATCAATATGAGATGAGATGCATTGTGAAGATTTTTTGTTTTTCCACAATAATATATTCAATTAAAAAATTCGAAGATATATTGTCAAACAACTTTATGTCAAGTAGGGTTGTCAATCGGACCATGGGAGTCAAGTTTTTGTTGGTTCAAGCTCACATAAATCGGGTTTTATTACTATAGGCTCAAGATCACAAATCATCAGGCCTCATTAGTATATGTTCAAGCTCAGTTCATGTATTTTTTTCGTGTTTTAGGTTTATATAGGGCCTCGTCACTATAGAACTGTAATTAGTTGATTTTTTTGTTTATAAAGAACAAGTGATAAACAAGATTTATCTCCATTGAAGCCAATCCAAAGAAACCTTAAACGAACACTAGACCAAAATGAACGAACACTGAATGAGTGTCTCCTAGAGTTTTGAAGCACATGTCGAGTTAGTGATGAAAAAAAAGGTATGTGCGAAAGGCTTATTTCCCAAAGTAGAAACTCACTGAACACTTTTTTTATCCGGAAGTTACGCGACTTGTGTAGCGAGTAGCTTTCCGCAATGATTCCCGTGGCGATCTTATCACCGTCGGGCACCCCGTTCGACCAATCACGCAATCTGGGCTTCAATCATGCCAGTCCCTGTATGTAATTGCTATTTCTAAAAGAATATTCTTGTTCTTGAAGAAGCCCCCTCAAATAGAGATTGTTTCTTTCGGCTGACAAAAAATTACGTCGCCAAACGCCCCGTCGCAAAGCCTGCGACGAAAAATCATTTGCGACGCCAGGTTTGGCGACTAATTTGGGAAATCGTCGCCAAATTCGTATTTTCCCAAAAAAATGATTTTTTTAACCCTCGCGACGGATCACATACTTTGGTCGCGTAATGGTTGCGACGAATACATAATAAGTGGCAAAACGTCGCGACGAATTGTTATCCTGTCGCCAAATTAAGCGACGCTTGTTCTGATTCGCTAGGTTTGTGAATATATTTGCGACTAATAATAGTCTTTGTCGCAACGCGCACGACTTATTTGTGACGATGTGTTTATTTGATTCGTCGTAAGCTAGTCTTTGCGTTTGTTTGTGACTATTGTATATTTTAGTCGCAGAGTTTTTTTTTTCATATTAAATACTTGTTCATTTATATTTTCAATTGACGAATTCAACCTGTATTCAGCTGTTGTACAGAAAAATAAACACTTATATAAAAAATATTAAAACCAAATTTACGGATTAAATATCAAGGTAACACACAAACATAAATTCAAAAAGTACATAAAAACTTAAAAGCATATAATGTAGTGTTTCAAACTTTAATAAAAAAAAAAACAAACGTCATCCTTTTTTATACTCCACCATCATTAGAAGGAGTCGATGTCGAGGCTTGTAGTCCAAAACGCCCGACCAAGGTGTTCACAATTTCTCGGGTTTCTTGCAATTGCGCTTCCAATCTTTCCAGTTTGTCATCTTTAAGTTGCATTTGCTCTTTCATTGACTTCATTTCCATCTCCACTTCCGGCGGAATTGAAGAAAATCTCGACTTTGCACTCCTTGTGGTGGTTGTAATCTTAATTCCAAGTCCTTAGCTTTTTCCGAGCATTTTTTCTATCGCAGTTGAGTTGACCGTGCTTTCATCACTTCCATCACGCATGGTCTCATCGTAGACTCGTTCTAAATCAGCCTGAAAATGATTAAGTATACATGTTTAGCTAAAATTTCGACACCATAAAAACTAATAAATGAACATACCCAAAAAGACCATGTATGTATACAACAACTTAACATTATTTAAAACAATATCCATATCCACACATCTCAACTACGTACTAATTTAACATATCAAATAATTAATCACATATGATAAAAATGCTACAACAATAAACATAAATAATTAACATACAGCCAATTGAAGAATAAAATTGCATTACACTTACCGAATGTGAAGTTGTTCAGAAGTTGCTATCCCATTATATGGTTCTTCTGTATCTCCTTCCTCACTAATATTTGGCTCGGTTTCCCTCAGTGCATCAATGCCCATATATGCTTTCTTATACGTATCAAACACCGTAGGACTTTTGCCAAATTTTTTAAACTATAATAAAATATTATAAAGTAAGTATGTATTTTAAACTTAAATAAATTAAAATTATAGATCAAATTACTTACATAATTGTGGGACCAACTATTGATGAGGAAAAGTAACGCGAGAACATGGAAATCTATAACTTGCCTAAACTCTACAACCTGTTGTTCACCACATAATTTGAAAATTAATATTCAAAGGCCGACAAAAAATAGTAGAATATTAGGATTTTAAAGGCCGACAAACAACAATGCTAATGTATATATCCATGTGCCCAATATAGTCAATTTTATAAGGATTTCAAACAAAAAAAAAATTAGGGCAAGAAAGATTACCTTTTTGTGGTTGTTAAGGGCTAGCTAGAGAGGAGGAAGTTACAAAGGCCTAGCTACAGATGAACGAGCCCGTAGGGAGAAGATGGAGGTGGCGGCGGCGCCGTATAGAACTGGCCGGATATTGACAAAACAACGAGGACGGCGGAGAGCGGGGGGCGGACGGCGGAGGCGGAGGCGTAGGCCGGACGACGGCGGCGGAGGCGGAGGGCAGAGGGCGGATGCGGAGGGGGAAGCGCCGGCGGAGGGTGGATTGTGAGCGATTGAAAGAGAGAGATTGAGAGAAAGGAAGAAGAAACAGAGTTAGAGAACAGGGGAAATAGAATTAGGGTATGTATTCTAATTAATATTTTGGCGACGATTTATAAAAAATCGTAGCAAATTGAGACGAAAACGAATCTCTTTGCGACGTTTTCTAGGCTTTCGTCGCAATTAAAAAAGAAAAAAAACTAAATAGACTAGTGACGTTTTCATAGGGACCTTCGCTACAAAATTGGGGGATTTTTTCACTAATTATTTGGTGACGACTAATACACTATAGTCGCAAAAAAAATAATTAGAATTTTTTTTTTAAAAGTTTAACATGCGATGCTTCATACAAGTTTCGTCGCTAAGAATTAATATTCTTTAATATTTTTACTTTATAACGGTAATTTTATAAAATTCGTCGCCAAGCCAATTAAATGTTTTTTTCGCGATTACACTAGCGACGTATACATTATATTCGTCGCTAAGGTACAAACATTAAATTACAAAATATATTATCCGTGCGTCGTTAATATAACGACGTCGCTACGAGAGGACTTATTATTTTATTTTTTTCGTTTGCGACGTTTTTGGAATTATAGTCGCGAGTTCGCGACGATTAATATTTTCGTCGCGAGATAATCCACCAAAATTATAATTTCTGACATCTCGCGACGTTGTGTAATTTAAATCATCGCAAGGCCGCGACGATTCATAAATCGTTGCCAAAAAAAAGTCGTTAGTGAGCTGTTTTGGCCTAGTAGATCTTTGTAAGTTATTGGAAAAACTTAGAAACAAAGGAAATGTTTTATATTTTCAAATCCCGGTGATAAAATTTCAGCAATTTAATTTGGGTGAGTACGTTGCATTTGATTCCTATTTTACCTATTGCACCCGGCCCAGCCCACCACTTAATTTTCTTTTTTTAATTTTTTTTACAAAATAAAATTAATCATATACGATTTTAACTTGTACGTTGAACCATATCATTAAAATAATAAATATATTATTGTATTATTAACTTAATCAGTCGAGCTATATTCGAGTTGAGTCATATCAACCTCAAACTCGGCTGATAAATAAATCGTGTTTAGTAAAATGACTCAAACTCAGCGTAACTCACTAAAAAATGGGCTTCGACTCGAATATTATCGGCCCGAGTCATCGGGCTTCGATTATGTCTGTCTCAATTGTCGGTCACAATTTCAAGAGTGCAAAGTAGAATCAAGCCACCAAAATATTTAATTTTTTTTCTTTCCCGAAAGTGTTAAATTTGGGATAAGTAATTTTTTTACAAATGGAAAACAATTTGAAGGGGGGGGTCAAATCTTGGAATAGACGGTGAAGATCCATTTACCTAATATACTGATATTGATGAATGATGATGGATTATGTATGAGTCGTAAATAAATCACGCAATTACTACTCACTCGCCCCTCTTTTTCTTTTTCTTCCTCGAGAAGAACAAATAAATAAATTACACAGACAGCAGCAGCAGAACAGCTGTTCGTCTTCACCCCTATAGTGTGTGTTTTTTCGAAACCCTCTAATCTCTAACATTCATATGTTTCTCTTGTCTCTCGATCTTCTACCTGTTTAGGGCTTCCGCTTTACTTTGAGCAAGGATCGGTAAAAAAAAAAAAATATGGGCAGAAAAAGAAAGACAGCTGTGGTAAATACCATCGCCAACGAGGTTAAACGCAGCAACCTAAATTCTTTCCTTTTATTAACTATGAAATCAAGATTCGTTTAATTATTTTTTTATTTTTAATTATTGCTTCTGCTTATTCCTGTTCTATATTTTATTCGCATGCATGCCAGTATATGTATATGGCTAGTTCATTTGTGGGTTTTATTTGGCTGCCCAATTTTATTTGTTGTCGAGGCAGTGGCGAAGCCAACATAGGGTTGGGGGGTCATGACCCCCAATATTCTCAAATTAAATTCCTATTACAGTTAAACCTCTATAAGAAAATCCAGTCGGAACTAGCAAAATTCTATTAATTTAGCAAAATATTACATTATCGTACTAATAACTTAGTAGGTTTTAATCTGGCCCCGACTATTATTTAAGCGATGTTATTAA